AGAATTAATGAATGAGTGAATGAATGAATGAATAATGTTGGAACAGGAGGAGAAAAAGTTGAAGAAACTTAAGTAAAAAATAGTGGTATCATCAAATTTCCCTGGAGAATACAGCTTCAGGAAAATCAAGAATAATATGGGCTCATGTCAAGCAATGAAGAGATTTAAATATTTTCCAGTCCCTTTAACATTCCAGTTTTGGGCTATTTTGTGGTTACATTTGCTTTACCATTAAAATCTAAAAATTGCTGACAAAAATTCAAGATTCAGTTTGGCAATTTAATATATTTGGGCTCAATTCTCATGCATGGGAATTGATGCAATTTTCAGAAATAAAATGGCTTTAGCTAATATGTAGGGGGACTATTTGCATTCCTGGAATTTTAAAGAAGCAAATCCTGATTATTTCATGTAGGTGGTGCTAATATCAATGCCTGTAATAAACATTGAGCATAATTACTATAATTGCTATGTGTTCATTTAATGCAAGTTAAAGGCTAGATGTAAAGACTTGGGAATATATAAAAGTACTTTCTGAAGTTTAGCTACTGAAGAAAAAAGTAGGCAGCATATTTTCCTGAAATTAAAAGCTTTTGTTAGAGGTAGAGATTTACAGGTAATAATTACATAACTACAGGAAATTATAAGTTATTTGATGAAGTGGGAAAAAAAAAAAGCTTCTAGAGTGATGCAGGTACTAAAGAATAAGTAAAATTCTGCCCTAAAAAACAGCTTAAAACATTTCCCTAGAGGAAAATGTCACACTCGAATAGTGTGATGCTTTGAGTATTTTCATCAACAAGAGACAATCTTAAAACACGAGAAATCAAGGGAGGGAAGAATTGATTTATCTGTGCTTGGGGGAAAAAAGAAATCAAATCAAGATTTCTGGTACCCACAAGGGTATCATCACATGTTGCATCAGTGGGACTCCTGACTGGTGTTAACACAATTGAATGTTACTTGATCTGCTAATTGCCTGATACATTTTAAGAAAAAATAGCCGAGATTGTGGATGATTTGCTCAGTTCAGGTGGCTAATTCTGCATATGAATACATCTGAAAAACGATGGAAAGAGAGTCATGTTTACAAAGGCAAAATCAGGAAAGAAGGATTTTATATAACATTCCATTTAACCTTTGCTAAAAATTACAATCAATAACTAAAGAAGCCCAAAGCATTTGTTTTGGCAAATAAGATTATTTCAGATATAATCAGTCTTAGATTAACAAGAGTGGACAGCAGACAGTGTCACAGTCGCCTTTCAGTGTCCAGTGTCATTGGGAAGATCCTGATCTTACTCTTAGTTCACCACACATTTCACATGATCCAGCCCTTTCTCCCATGAGCAATATTGACTCACTAGGGCATTATTTGCATTGTGTGTTTAATTACCTTTTTGCAAGCATAGCAATGGTGAGCAAATTGCTTCTCAAAACAGGGCACACAGTAATTCTCATTGTCTTTGGTGATTAATGGTTTTGTTCCCAATGGTTGCTGACAATACTGGCAAACAAAACAGGATTCATGCCAGGAGCTTCCCTTAAATTCCATTTTACGTGAACCTGAAAAAACCAAAACAAACAATCCTCTCAGATATAGCCTTGTAATATAGGTTTTAAACATTGGGAATGCTCTTGTTTTTGAACCTTCTAGCTCAGCATCAGATAACCCAAGAAAACATCTTCAATTTAATAGAGCTTGTAAGAAAGCACTTGAAATTTCAAGAACACATTCAGTACCATATATTCATCTGGCAAAAGATGTGCTGAATTGCCTAAGCTGTGATTTTTAGAGTCTGCTCTTATATGAATCTTTTGGGGCTTTTTTGTGATTATGTTTGAATTGATCAGTTTCTCTCAAACCAGCCAACTCAGTGATAATATTCATGTATACAGCAATTTTATAAATTAAAAATTATTTGTTGGATGTTTAGTACATTTATTATTGTCCTGTCTTCTATCTTTCTTAAACTAAGGCTCCTTCACTTTTAAACGCATTATTTATCTTAATCAGTTTAAATTGGCAACTTTCTAAAAGTAAATATTTTTTCTGTGATACAGCACATTACACTGCCTTCTTCTACAGCTCACCATTTCTGTCCTAGACCAGCAATTCTTTTTATCATATTTTACTACATGCCTTTGATACAGCACAAGAACAGAAAGTTGCTCAGTTAAATGTTTGTCAGAGGAGTCTCAGAGCTTTTATCTCTGTGTACAGGTGTCCTATCTTGATATAGAAACACAAGTGTAAGATATGTGCATATATGTGGGAGCAATTTTTCCAGTGGATCTCCATCCTCAGCTTCCTATCTGTAGGTAGATAAGACTGCACAGAGAGGTGCAAGGTGCTTTTCCATCCTTTCCACATGAGGAAGAGGATTGCTGCTATATCTGATTAATCCCACTGTGCCTGTTTCCTGAAATGTGGGGCCAGTGCAGAAACTGCTGGTTGTATTTAGACACAAAAGGTTTGCAGCTTCATCCCAGCGATCAGAAGGCCAATTTCACTGTCTTTCACCACTAGGTCTTTTTCACACAGAGTTAGCAAGATGGTGAGAAGGAAGTTAATGATATAGAGACTGGCTGGCATTCCCATGCCTCTGTTGCAGTGTTTGTCACACCTTTGGGCACTTGCTGCAAGGATTTACACTCTGTGACAAAACAAGCAGCATGGATTTATACCAGAAGATAATGATGCAAACCTGAGTGTATTCTGGCATTTTTTTTACTAAATCTAGTGAGGTGTGCCTATTTGACAATATTTTTGTAAACTATGTACAATTTAGGCAGTTTATAATCCATTAAATGAACACAACTGTATTTTTACAATATTTGTTTCCATTAATGCAGATTTTTACTTGTAATGAAAAGGAAACAAACTGTAAAAATCCAAATTAGTGTTTTAAGTTGAATACAACCTGAGTAATCTAGTACCAATAGTAAGACTATAATTTTGCACAGCCTGGATCTTACTGTTCGGCATTAAGATATACTGAAAAATAAAATTCCAACGTCACTGCCAAATTTACTGATGTTCTCTGTTCCAAAAGCTAGGGACCCACTTGCCCAAGCAAGCAGCTTCCTTTTGCAACAAATGGTGCTGTGGCTTCTCCCAGATGCCTGTGAAGAGGCAGCTTTTGGGTCATACTCTGCTGTAAGAGCTTTACTGATGTGGTACAAATGAAAAGTCTAGAGTGGGTCCTGAACAGATACAATCAAAAGCTGAGAAGCAGCTTAGTGTGAAGTGCAGAATTTTCAAGAGTGCTAATGGCAGGAAGTAGGCCTATTGTAAACATGGACAATATTGTAAAATGGACTTGTATTCCTTTTAGTAAAAATGCTGCTAATGATTTGAAAGCAAATTGTCATGTTTTGACAATTTAAACAAAACATATTTCTGAGTGAAAGCACTAGTATAAAGAACACAAGCACAGGATCTGTTCAATGTGGAAAACATGCAGATGACTTGTCTAATGTGCCACTTCTGCTCACAATACCTCAGTTTGTCTTCCTATGCTGACAGCGGAATATGCTTCCTAAGAACTGCAACAAAATCAAAGAAGTCACATGAACACATTTTGCCCTGCATTGAACTCTTAATATTTTTATAAGGATTCATAAGACCTGTCAGTGGTAGATCAGAAGTGTCTGCCTGCCTTCTCTCCACTGATGGGAGAATGCTACGCATAAAGGAAGAGTAGTCACCTCCAAGCTGTTCTGAAAGTCAAGGACCTTGTAGCTTGGTTATTCCAGGAGGAGGGTATCATTAAAAATGTAGTTCCATTTCTCAGTAAAGGGCCCCTGTTATCTTACCAGGCATAATGGTCTTCTGGCAGTGAAAACACTTGGATGAATACTCATCAGAGTAGCACTCAGTACACAGCAAGACCTCGTCCTTGGCAGCAAATGGTTTCTCCACGAGTGAGCGGCTGCACTTGGCACATCTGAAGCACCCCTCATGCCAGTGGCGGCCTTTGTAGGCCAGATCCTTGGAGAAAGTAACTTCATGTTAGTGAAAACATTTATTTGCAGTGTTTTTATCCTTCCATTCCTTCCAGAACTAAAACAAAAAAGGAAGAGCGTTGCAGTGGTGGATCCAACAGAAGTGTGGTCAGGAAAAGTGCAGGTGCTCAATGTCACTGTTGTGACATTGTGACTGTTGTGACATTGTGACTGTTGTGACATTGTGACTGTTGTGTAGATCCCTTGCAGAGGCCATCGGGAGCTGCTTTGGCAGAATGTTCCTCCTGATGTAACACAGAGCTATGTTTTCATTGGAAGAATCATGTTATATATTACAGTTGTCTTTCAAGGGGAAACAAGTGATCAACATTTTTAATGTGCACAGACCACTGGAGAGGAAGCCCATATTCTATAGAATTTGAAGTGAACGTTATGTATTTTCAATGTTACTATTTCTTCTTCCAGCTGACGACATAATTCTAATAGCTGTCAGAAAACAAGCAATTAAAACCTCATTGAGATCAAAATGACTATTAGTAATATAAAAAAAATAATTGCTTTTGTTTACATCTGATATAAATCCTCCTGAAAACTTGACAGAAAAAAGTTTAAGAGTCAGTGGGCTTAAGGGATGAAAGAGCTAATAATGTATATGTATATGAAAGAGCTTAACGATATATATGTATGAGATCCTGATTAAGAATTCAAAAAAGACCAAACAGCAGATTTAATTTTCCCACAGTTAGAAAAGCAAGGGAAAAATGCACCTCCAAAACCCCTTCCCAGCTTAAAAAATAAACTCTTCCAGGGCTCTTTTATAAGTAAAAAACACAAAAGGGCACAAATCCAATCTCATTGTTCTCCTTGATCATGCCCCTGCCTTTTAAAGAGCTAAAAATAAAAGAAATGCCATGCTTGGTTTCAGGAGGTGCTGAGCACTTAGCATTTTCATTTGCTTTGGTTAGCACTGTGAACCTTGCAGGAACCAGGCTGTCAGCCCAGAGCAGCCCCAGGCAAGGACTGGGTGAGGAGGAGAGGAAAAAACCAAACTCTATCCCCTTGGCAGAGGTGAGACAATCAGCTGTAGATCTGTGTGCCACTTTTCTAGATGTCTCTAGCCAGGTGCACTCCTTTGGCTGCTTTTTTCTCCTATTTTTTCCTTCCACTCAGTCCAAAGACATGGATTTTTGTTTATGATCTTCAACAATAGTAATCCTATCACCAATTTAATTTTTGATTTTAAAGGTGAAATAAAGTGAACTCCATGCGTGCGCTCTCCTGGTGAATCTGACTGGTGATACATGTTCACCCACACTGTGGGTGAAATGCTGATGAGACTTTGAGGAGTGTCTTCATCTAAATCAGCATTTCCCTTGGATGAACCCTGTATGCAGACTATGTACCTTGATGTGATTGGGCTGGGAAAGCCTTCCAAGAGGTTTATTTTAATATCTTTGTGTCCTTTTATTTCTAAGGAACATAGGCGAAGAGAGCATGGGGAGAAGGTGGCCAGTACACACTGGACTTGGCAAAACAAAAGCTTTTTGATATGTTTCATTTGACCTTAAAATTCAATGTCAAGTATACGTCCTCTAAATTGAAGTATGGGGTACTAGAAACCCTGTCAAAGACCACAGAGGGAATTGAATTATTAATTAATATTGTAAAAATTGGAGAGGTGAAAGGAAAGACAAGGTCAGAAACACTACCACTGATACACCATCTGTGAGATGAGCAAGGTAAGCACGGAATTAAGCAGAAATAAAAAACCCCTCATTTCCAAAAGAGAGAGAGAGAATATGCAAACTATAAACATGTTATCTTCTCAGCTTGGCATCTGCTTGTCAACACCTACAGTAAAAGCAATTTATTCAATGCTCAAAATATTTTTTCAATGAACACGTCTCAGAAATTCCAAGGTGTCAATCAACCTGATACACTGAATTACACCACCCACCCTATCACCCCCCAGCACTGTGCAGCCTCTGCAGCCAGTGGGTGGCTGGAGGTGAAGGATGGAGCCCAGCTGGGGTCCACACAGCCTTGCTGTATGCTTGGGGTACATGCATGTGCAGATTTCCTCATCTTTGACCCCAGAGCTTTCCTATTCAGGGATAATAGCGCCGTTTCACTCTGCTGTGTGGGGATGTACAACAGCTATGCTTAGGTCTCTTCAGTGATACAGGGATGTGCAAAGGGGTGGGTAGCGCATCTACCACTAAAGAAATTGGATTTGTGTATAATTTAACAAGGAACAAAAAGAGCAAGCCCAATCTGTACCTTGGAGCTGCACTCAATGGGCAGCTTGCACTCTTGGCAGGGGTTGGCGTACAGGCTGTCGTAGCAAGGGACGCAGTAAGCGTTCTCATCCCTCAGTGCATATTTCCTGCCACGCAGAGACTGCAGGCAGAAATGGCAGTCTGTGTGGCTGCTGGTCATCCTGCTGGGGCCCTCCACGTGCTCTGCAAAAGATGGGAAAATTGGGCAATTCAATGCATGATGCTTGCTCAAAGGCTAAGTAACGCCGCATTACCTGTGGAAGTTGGACAGGCATTTCCTGGTCATTTGCAGTGCCCTGGATTTCTTAATGCTGGCTTGTTCAACAATAAAATGGTAGCCTTTAACAACATATACTGTGAATTGTATCACCTACATGATGGGGAGCAAGAGGGCTGCTTCAGCTTATTCTAACACTGTTTCAGGTCAGACACCTGAGAATGAAGCCAACTTCACATTCTCTACGTAAAACTACTGGCATTATGAGCATTATGTACTGGATTCCGAGATATGGTTCATCCAGAAATTGGGTAATGGAGATAGAAGCAATAATTCAGAAATGAAATCAACTGAGGAGTTAAAAGGCCAAAGAGAAGAGGCAGGCACTTTGTAGGGTGTTCCTGACTTTCTCTTGATACTCCTGTCCTTCTGCTTGTTCCTTTCTTTTCTAAATACCCCCACATCTACCTGACTCAGTGGAAGGAAAACAAGGGACTCCAGGATAGATGACTGTTTTTTGCATTATCCCAACTGTGCTGCTAATATTTGGAGTCATTGTAAGATCGTACAAATTCCTCTGGAGAGCAATAGAGTGAAATATAAAGAAAAATAGACTAAATAATAAGTCAAGTAAATCAGAACTCAAAGAAAGCTTTCCTTGTTGTTATTGGAAAAGATTGTTTTTTCTTACATATTTCTTTATTTCTATATCGGATTCCACATTGGCAGTACCAAAATAACATGAAATAATTTATATTTCTGTGCCAGACAAGTGTAGGAAATACCACAAATCTATTGAGAGTCAGTTGTATGAATTTCCCATCCTTCAGTTTTTCAGGCTAAAGAGGCTTGGACAAGCATCCAAACTTCGGCTGCTTATAGATCTGCAATTGTGAAGAATGTTTTAAGGATTGTGGAGATGAAGACCTATTTCAGTCTTCTTATTTCTGGTTGGATCATCATCACTTTGCTAAAATTGCATCTTGATTCTTGGAAATGATGGAAGAAGAAACCAAAAAGTTCACAGTGAAGCAACCCCAAAAACATCTGCTGGGCTCATTGGGTTGCACTCTTCATTAAACTCAAAGGGTGTAGCTGCAGCCAGCACCAGCAATCATGAATTTTAGAGGAGTTTAAAATGACTGGGGAAGGTCTCCTAAAATATCCTAAAATATCTCTCAGATATCAGTGACTTTGGGCAGCTGAAATTTTTGCATTTTGAGAAACAGGGCAAATTAGTTCCTCTTAACCAGATGCATAGCTTGAGAGTAAGGAAGAACATACAGAGGACAATATTTGAGGGAGTTCTTAGCCTTGACAAAGCCTCCATCTAGTCCGCTTAGAGTTACACCCTCATACTTTGTTTTTATGCACTCACTGACTGTCTTATACCCATGGTTCAGCTTTAAAAAGGCATAAAATCTTTTTCTGGGTTTTTGCTTCAGTAAGCTCTAAACCAAAATGATTTTTTGAGCTGTGAGAAAAAACCAATTACTGCAGTTTTCCACTGGCACCAGTGCATAAGGTCAGGCATTTATTAATTAATCTTTTCTGGGACGTGTAGTAGTAAAACACTGGACAGGGGGTAGGGAGCAAGGCTGTCATACTAATTTCAGACCAAAAGTAATGACTTGATTGGAAAATTCGTTGCTCCTGTAAATTGAAAATCTTTAGAGTTGAATTGATATATTTTATTTCCTACTACCCTTAATATTACTACACTCTGTCAGCCAAGACAGGGTGTAGTAAGGAAATAAAATAATCTGGAACTCAGATCAGTGGGAAACATGCTTTCTTAAAATATTTCTGATGTGTTTTATGTGATATCCTTGGAAAAATAATATAACAGGGCTTGAATTAGGACTTCCATTTCCTTAAGATCAAACAGAGATTTGAATGTGTAACAAAAAAAACCATTTATGTGAGAAAATTACATCCATCAGCTTCAGCATTACAGAACATGACATAAAACCAGGCAGAGCTCAGTTCATTTAATGCACAATCACAGTCATGACCAAAGCCAAGGTTAAGTTTTGTGCATTTTTCTCATTGTGGGGGAAGAAGTATAAACTGGTGTCTAAGGACACAATCAAGAAGTGCTTGTGGTTAACTGTGCTCCATGGTCAAGGTCAGGCTTGAAACTGGGTTTAGAGGATTTTCATTTATTTGTTTAGTGAGAATTAAAGTAATGAACTGTCTTGGAGGATAACCCTGAGTGAACCATCGTTCTGATGCCCTCCCTGCTGGATCAGTACTCCTGGTTCCTGACAGAGCTTCATCTCAGCCTAAAAGTGGCAACAGCAAAATCCAAACAGGGTATTCATGAAAAGTTTTGTTACTTATAGAGCATTTTTGTTGCACAAAGCTCTCCAACAAATATCTGTAGAAACATCTGTCCCATATCTGTAGAAACATCTCTGTTTTTCATTCTAATGGATGTCAATCAGGTTTTAAGTTATCAAAAACTTATGTAGTTATCAAAAACTACATTCCAAGTAATTTTCTTTAAAAAGTGATTCTCTTTATTATTACTTTTTTCCCCCGGGAAGTCAGTCTGTCCCAGGAAGCCCAGGCTGGTGCACAAATAAGACCCACTACTGTAATACTTCAGAACTATTGAATTTGCAATGCTATTGTCCTTCTAAACCCCTATATGGATATTGGAGCAAAGTGCTATTAGTCCTGTTCTACAGATGACAGTTGTTGCTTGAGGACTTAATAAAGTACCCCCAAGAACAGAGTCAAAGCCTGAGAGTGTCCTTGGGCTGCTTCTCTAGTAAAATGCTCAAGTTGTCCCAAACTTTTCTTCAGACAGTCTTCAGAGTTTGACCATGAATCATCATAAAAGACTATGTTTGGGAATGAAGCAGCAATGGTGAGCAAAAGAATGAAGATTTTTTGCAAACTTTTCGGCAAAAGTATGGATAACCTTTGAGAACTACTTTTACCATTAGAAAATGCAACAAAAGGGTGAATCTTGTCTCTCCCAGCACCGCTTATCCTTGCTCCAATAAATAAGTAATGGTACGAGGGCCACGCAGTGAAGTAGAATGTTTTTCTTGTGCTTTGATCCTAATCTCTAGAGAAATATGTTTACTTTAAGTTTGCTGGAAGCTAGACTTTGTGTTTTGAAGGTCAGCTAAGAAATCTCTGGAGATCTGATGTTATTCACTCTCATGGAATGAAAAGCTGACTCCGGCATTCCAGCTGCTAACTCGACTCCTAGGCACAGGGAAAGACTGCAATGCTGCCATTCCTTGGGAAAAGATGATTTTATTATTTAAATTGGAACATCTTACATTGGAAGCTAAATACTGTTGATTTTTATGTACCTAGTCAGCAGGGGTATGAAGTACAATTTTTAATGTTATGAATATTCCAAGGAGGTGCAGAGAGATGTTGCCAAGGACGTGAGGATATTGTAACTGGAGTCCCTGGGGTCAGATTTGAGAATGCAGCAGTTTCATGGACTGAATGATAAAAGAGATGAAAATACAAAAAAGAGAGCTGGGTAGTCATCCTGCTGTTAAAGCAGATTGAGATAGAATTTAGCTACAACAAATTAGGACAGGGACTTCCTGGAGAGTCAAATTATTTCCCATAAAATGCAGAACACTAGAAGATTTCCAGTGAAGAAAGTTGTAAGAACATGGTTGTGAAGTTGTGAATCCTGATAGACATGGAACCATCAAGAAAAGAATGCTTTTTTCCTCACTGGAGCTAAAAAGCAGAGCCAGAAGGTTAATATATGTTTGAAAAATTAATCCTGATGTTTTCTATAAATATATGTTAATCTCCCTCACACAAACAAAAATAAAAAACCCACATTTATACTACTTAGAAATCAATTAGTATATACATATGGATGTAGATACGTACATATAGATAAAAATGTTCTATCTTTCACTTTGTGGAAATTCTAATCTAAATATACCTGCCATTGAACTTCATCATCTTTTTCTTTAAGAACATACAGTTATTGGAAAAAGGCTTCTTCTTAGAGAGGCATAAAGGAAAAAAACAGATGGAAAAAAAATCCTTTCAACAGCAGTGAAGGATAAGAAAAACAATTTGATATCTTATGATGAGGACACCCCTGGAAGCTGCCCTAGGCATTGTTCATTTCCAGGTAAATGCATGTTTTAATCTTCTAATGCTATTTGCCTGATTTGCATGAATTTTCTGACTTCATTTTCCCTATTTCTATTTTTGTCTCATGCATTGACATATATTAAAGGTTCTGTAATATTTGCTTTTCTAAAAATGGTTAGAGAAGCAATAGGAACTGGGGGCATGTATTACAGACTAAGTCAAGCCAGGAACCTACAGGAAAGAAGACACAGACATTAACTCTGAACTATCTTATCTCTGTGGCACAGGACAGTAATAGAGCACCAGGTCCTGGAAGCATCTGAGTGAGGGCAGAGCTCTCACTGTTGAAATTCTCCTTTTAGCAGCCAGGACAGATGCCACAAGTGACACTGTTTTGGTGGGGTGTCAAGGCAAAGCAGATATTTTAGAGGTTGGTCTGGTAATTTGTACTGAATTGTACTGTGTTTACACACCCCTGACTACAAGCGAAAAGGGCAAGAGCTATGGTTTAACTAGGGAATCAGGCATCTCAGGAATTTTGTAATTTTTTCCTTAATTGGTATTGCTGTCTGCTTTGTTTACACCGTACAAACTCAAATGTTGTAGTCATCTAAATTCTTCCTTTTTTTTTTTTTTTTTAAATAATTCTTACCCACATTTTTACAGGTTTTCACACAGTCTGGTAGAGCCAGAGTTTTCTCCTGTGTCATTATGGAGCTCGTTCCTTTCTGACTATTGTCAAATGTATGAATAAAATGAAGTGATGAAATAATTCAGCTGTTGTAACTTTCAGTGTAAAATCCTGTCATTATTCTTCGTTGTACTTCCCATATTGAACCAGAACACAGGTTTGAGGACTGCATCTCTAACAAAGGCTCATCTGATAAAGAATACTCAAATTAACTGGTGAGTTAGATGGGATAGAGTGGCTCCCACAGCAAACTGGCAGATGACACCACAGTGGGAGGAGAGGAGAAGCTGATACACCACATGGATGAGCTGTTATCCAGAGGGACATCCCCAAAACTGGAGGAGTGGGGTGACAGGACACTCATGAGGTTCAGCAGGGGGAGTTGCCAGGTGATTCTGTGATGCACCACAGAAAATTTATGACTGCTGAATGGCAAAAGAGGGAGGGTAAAAGTCTCCAAAAACCTCAGTATTCTTTTATGGGCACTGGAACAGGAGTGGGGGCATTCTCATAACCACAAAATTGGTCTCTTGTAAATGCTTGTTTTTTCCAAGTACCCTTTCTTGCCTTGACACTCCCCTACAATCCATGATTAGGGAATCATGAATGATACTTCAAAAAGTGTTTAAATAAACCGAAAGTGGAAATTTCAAATGAAGGCATGTACTGAAGTCCTGATCTGAAACTACCACCTATTATGCAAATCATAGACTTACAGAATTTTAAGGGTTGGAAGGAACCTTAAGGATTACCTGGCTCCTACTCCAATGCCGTGGGCAGGGGCACCTCCCACTGGACCAGGCTGCTCAATGCCCCATCCAATCTGGCTGTGAAAACTTCCGGGGTGGGGCATCCATAATTTCTCTGTGCAACCTGTTCCAGTGCCTTCACCTCACAGTGAAGAATTTCTTCCTAATGTCTATGATAAATTTCCCATCTTTCAGTTTGACATCATCCCTTGTCCTATCCCTACAGTTCCTGATGAAGAGTCCCTCTCCAGTTTCCCCTAGGTCCCCTATGGATACTGGTGGGGAGCAACATCTGAGGAGCACTTTGGAGCCACCTCTGCTAGAACAGCATCTGCACAAAATGCCTGCACAGCTGGGCAGAAGGGCCCCAAGGAAACAGCAGCACCTCAGCCATAATCTGACAGCACCTGGCAGGGACACACCTCCCTGAAGTGACACAAGCCTGCCTTTGGGACTGAAATCTTCCCAGGGAAAACAGTACTTACAAGAAGGGATACCTGTTGTACAAGGGTGACTGAGGTGCCTGGAGGTCACTGATCAAAACAGTCCTGCCACTAACAAGAAGTAACAGAACTTCAATAGGTAATGCTGATTCTGATAATAATCTTTAAGATCTTAATGAAAAAAAAGTAATTTCTCATCTTTGCAGATATCCTAGCTGTAGAGACCAGGTTTTCCTACCCTTAAGTTTTATTTCAGGAATACCAAGGTGGATGAAGATTACTCTGTTGTGTGAGAAGGGGTACATCACATGAATTACAATAAATTTTTTTTTAAATAACTACAACTGTCTACACAGCACAGCTTTTTCTAGAAGGGCTATTTAAAAGCCTGTGACCTACTTAGAACTGCTTTAAGAAATAAAATGAACAAAAATATAAAGATCACCATCAGCAGCATTGTTAGCAAGAAGCTAAAATTGGAAAGGATTTTCATTACCCAATTTAAAAAAAGAAATGCTTACTTCCCCAAACCCAAACATAAATCCCCCAAATGATAATCAAGCATCTGCTGCAGTGGTTTCTCCTCTTATCTCCAGCTGTGCTATGCCAACCTGACCCAATTTCCTGAGGAAAAATGTAAACCAAGACACAGCACTCTTTTAATAAAAGGATGACACCTTATCAAAATGAAGCAAATCTAAAATGTTCTAGTCTCAGCCTTGTTAAGAGATGGTGATGAGTTAGATGGCATTACAGCTTAGGAAAAGGAAAGGCTACTGTCAGTAGTGTTGGGATGCAAGATCCCTAGTTCAATTATCATTGTTCCCAGGTATTTTGGTTTGCAGGCCAAATATTCCACAGGCCAGTTTTGCTGCTTGCAGTGCTCCCTCAGGCTTCGCTGCCACCTTCTTATCAAGCTCATCTCTGAAAATAGGGGTGATGTGGCTCTGCAGAGAAGCCCTAGGCTGCTTATTAAACCAACAGGAATCACTGTTTGTAAAGCCACTGCTGTACAGTCTAAGAAATGCTGGCCACTGCCAATGTAGCACTGCAAATGTCTTCCCATGATATGGGAGGTGTTTGGGGTGATCACTGCTGTGTCACTCTCCAATCCTTCCCAAGGGAAAACAGGCTTCAAGGTGGGCAATTCCAAGAGGCAGGATCAAGAAATAATGGAATGGTTTGGGTTGGAAGGGACCTTGAAGATCACCTATTTCCAACTCCCTGCCATGGGCAGGGACCCCTCCCAGGAGACCAGGCTGCTCAGAGCCCCATCCTGCCTGGCCCCATCCACACTGTCAGGGGTGGAACACCCACAGCTTCTCTGGGCAGCAAAGGGAGAAGGGCTAAGCAGAAACATTGAAGAGAGCTAGAAACAGCCTGATCTCTACCTATGGACTCTGGATTTTTGATGACAATTAACACATGGTTGTGATATTTAGCAGTAATGAAGCTCTGCAGTTGCACTGTTTTTGGAATACAGAGATATAATAATAACAGCAGAAGCATATTAAAGTACATATGCAGATATTGCATCTGCTGGGTAGACAGACCATGAAGCATATAAGCTTGTAAAGAAAATCTGAAAGAAGTGTCACTCTTTGTATTCTATCATTTTTACAGTAATGAACTGGTTATATGATATAACTGAGACAGATGGTGAGAAAGGTTTCTAGGAGAGCTCACAACAAACAACCAACATGAAAATGTGCTCTGGGTACTCTTTAACAGACTTATTTCCCTTCCTTCTGCTCCCTCTAAGTGTTACATGACCACCTGCTGTGTCTTCTCTTACAACAGATCACTTGGAACACTGACAGCTATGTGCAAATTTATGTAACTGAATAATTTATCTCAATTCACAGATGTCAAATTAGGTGATTTAATATTTTCTGGATTAGAGTTTAATTCTGCAGTTTAGGGTTGGTGTGCAGTTATCTATTGGGCAGTGCTGTGCACAATTCTGTTATGAAGTCTCAGCATCTGCACTATGGTTGCTGTTACAAAATAGTGCAATTCAGCTGTGTGTGCAAACCACCAGTGATGTGGAATTATAGCAGGGTGGTTTTTTGCTTTTATTTCCACCCTGAGTGCCTTAAACACACTGTGGACAGGAAAGTCTTAGTTTATCTACATAGGTGCATCAGGGACAGGCTGCTCCCTTTTGGGCTAGGGAAAAAAATAATAAATATTCAGAGATACACCTTCTTTTACACCATATCCTACATTCACTGCTGATAGTTATTCAGCACGTTTCATTCTAGCACAGACAAAGGATATATGTATATTCACAATGTAAAAACACTTTCAGAATTGGTCTCACAAAAAGAATTTTGAACTTTTTTAGGAGAACCCTTTTAGGAGTGGGGCTGGTAGAAAAAAGCACATCAAGTGGCTTTTTGTTTTCCTCTACCAGGGAGGAAAAATAACAGTGTCACTAGGACAAATATAGGAAAAAATGTTGGTGGTTTTCCTATTTTTGCTCTTTAAATATGTGGCTTTGTGCATCATCCATTAAGCAGGCAAAAAATGTTACTTAAAGACCTCTGGAGTCTCAAGCAGTTGAGTAGATAATGTGCTGTCAACCAAGACAGGGGATAACACGGCATTGACTCAGATTTATCTTAATCCTCACATCCTGTGGCAGCAACAACAACCAGTCCTTACAGAGATTCAGCCCTGGGTTCCCACCAGTGACATTTGCCCCCTGCTTGAAGCCTTTGTGACTCTTACATTACCTGTTCTGCCTTCTTGGGAGATAAAATCTGCAAAACAATTATGTGATTGTGACTGGGTATCCTAACATTTCCCTCAAGCCTTAAAGTCTCTGCATCACACATTTAACATTTTCTACTTAAAATAGTCTAGAAGTGGCTATGAGTTAAAATTAGTAGATCATGATACTCTGTTTTTCTTTATTATGATGTGAGGTTACTGACCTTTCAGTAACTGCCCTGCTGGGATTTTTGTAATGTCCTGATATATGTGAAAAAGTCTTTGTTGTTGTTGTTATTTTGTTTCTGGCACCATGACTTCAGAGTGAATTTCTTTCTATGATTATAAATACACACTATCTAAAAATTGGTTCTAGTGTAGGATTGACCTTATCTGATTGAAGAAAAATTAAGGCTAAAGTTTATCTGAACACCCAACAGTCAACATTTGCTTCAGACAAATAAAACTCACCACTAAATCTTAGAATGCTGAAGGAACTTTGGTAAGAATGAAGAAATTCCTTCCTAAATTTAGGGAACATTTTAAGAACATGTAATTTAACTCAAGGATATTGTGGAACAGTAAGCCCACTGATACCAGCAGAGTCTGTTTGATGCGAACTTATTCTGGTGACAATGTGAAGAGTGTAGCAACAACCATCTTTGCAAACCTTGAACGGATTTAATTGATTTTGGTAGAGGATGGTGCTCAGAAACCATAATTCTGACCAGCTGTGGTGAAAAGGGCTCATCTGAGGAGGGGGAAAGTGGAACACAGTGGCAGAAACAGCACCAAGCAACAAATGCAGTCCAAAGCCTTTCTGCTAATCTATGTAAAATTTATTAAAAGTTTTCACTGAAAAGTCTAAGCTAGTGATCAAACAAATTAAGAATTCTGCTACTATATTTTTAAAAAATCCAACAAACTCAGACTGTTTGAGCTTTTAATTTGAAACATTTCTCAATGCTCTTTAACTTTCAAGCACTAAACTAAGTAAAGATTGCCAATTGGAAGACCAGCATGAAATAGTTTTTACTCTAAACATTTTTCCCATGCAAGTTAGATTTTTGAACTCTAATTATGCCACAGTTTTGCACGTCTTAGTACATAAATGAATCATGATGTGGCTGAATTTCAAACCTGAAGAGCTCACTTGAGAAAGACTGAACTTGATAAGCAAGTTTAAGCCCAGTACTGTTATGGGCTTCTGATAAATAGAATTAAACCTGAACCTCTGAGGTATTTTACAGCTTTCCTTTCAAAGGTTTCAGAATGCTTTTCTAACAACAGTAATAAAGTAATCCTAAAACACATTTGTGAGTTACTTTTCTTCAGAAACGATTAATACTTGTCAAAGCAAAGTAATTGAATTCCTCAAGGCCAGAGAGCAAACCTTTGTGAGTGGGAACAAAAGAAGCCATTCACTGCACCTCTGCCATGAGATGGGTCTGCTCATCAGGCTGTATCCATGGCACTGGCCTGGGATAGTTACAAGCAGTGTGCAAAGGTTGCCAACTGGTCAGTTCCCAGTGCTAAA